AGAGACAGTAGAACTTCGAACACAGTATTCCAAATGCATTTTCGATGCATCGCCGCGCTCTGCTTAGCCTGTAGTTAAATATTTGTTGGGACTCTTCCAATCTTCTATTTCGTATTGGTACAAAAGGCTTCATAATCCGCTGATGCAAGGGGAACGCATCGTCAGCAACAAAAACATACGGATGTGCATCATCATCTGGAAATTGAAGTGTTTTACTAAGAATAGCTTGTCCGAGAGTACATTTTTGAAATATCCCAGCATCTCCTTCGCTTCCGTAAGCCCCAATGTCCAAATATGTGAATTTATAGTCACCGTCTGCTGCAGCCATCAGTACCAGACTGAAGAAACCCTGAAAGAAATCATGCACATTTATGGGTTTAATGAAATGTCATTAGAAAGTGATTCAGATGAATTCTTTGTCTTCATTTTTTTTTATTTAAAAAAATCCAGTTAACCTTGTAGTTATAAAATAAACTTCCGGAATTCTGCGGGCATTTTATAGCAACATGCTTGCCGTCGAGGGCACCTGCACAATTTGGAAAATCCCACTTAATAAAAGACTCTGCAATACGCTGCATTTCCGCTGCTGCTTACTGATACGATACACGGACGCAATGTGCCGTTGAAGCGTTCCACAAGCAAAGTACCTTAAATTTTAAGGAATTAAAAAACTCGGGTAAATTTAATATTATATTTTATAGGTATTGACTTACTCAAACACAATTGCCAGCTTTTCTTTCGGAGAAATTTCATAGATTGGATGTGTTCGCTTCTTTGGCTGTAGTAAAGGTGAAACGAGCGCGTACAACTCGTTGAAACTTCTCAGGTCCATGTGAAAATTTTCTTTAAATCTGCTTTCACTGCTAACGAGATCTTCAAACTAGAAATTAGGTCAAAGGCTCATTATTGCTGATTGTAAACTATACAATTTAGAAGCTTACATCCTTGGCAAAACGCCCCTTTGTACATCTTTCCTGCAAAAACGGATCCACTTTCTCGCGTTGAGAATAAGTTTTCGTTGCCTCTGCAATCATTGCCACCATTTGCGCACCTGCCAAACAAGCTGCTTCCTCTAATAGTGCTGTTTGCATTTTTCTGTCATCAAGTCACTTTCAATACAAATAAATATGCGATGCACCGACACTGCTGGGTACTGCTGTTGGTCCGGAAT